ATGTTATAAAAGTGTATCTTTGAAAATGGATAGTCCAAGCAGTATCTTTTGCTTATCTCTCGACCTTTGGGCAAGGGAATCCCCAGAAGAGGGGGGCGTGAGAGTCCTCGAGTGGGCCCTCCCTGGGGCGGCAACCGTCACTCAAGAGCGAGCGCCGAGCCGCCAAGACAGTTGTAGACCGCGCGTCTAGGGGGCCGGGGCTGCGTGCAGGCGCGGCGTGCCGAGAGATCCTCTATGTCTTCCGGGGGGGGGGGGGGGAGGAATGGCGGAGGCGGCTGAGCAGAGTCAACGCGCAGGCCGAGAGAGGCTAAAGTCGCGTGGTGGCGAGAGGGACGGGTGTGAGGCGGAAGGGGTGGTGGCGATTGTCGGTGGCGACGGCGAGGCGAGTCCGCCCGGCGTGGGGCGCGGAGAGGGAACATCGGGAGGCGTGGTTTCGCTTTTTCTCGGTGGGGCATGTCGGGGGATGGCACACGCCTTCCCTCCAACAGCGACCGCCGTGACCGGCATGACGAGCTTTTCGTGGTAGGCGCAGTCACCCTGCAGCCCGACGCCTGCGGGGCGGAGCGCGCGGCGGGGTTGGGACGGTTCCGCTTTTGTGCGCAATGATCGCCGCGCACCCACGGCGTCGATCTGGCGGCCGATGCCGCGTACGGCGGTGCCGACCGCGTGCCAGAAGGACTGCGGCCCGGGTGGTCGCGCAGCCCACGCGAGGTTCTGGCGTGCGTACGCTGGAATGCTCATGCTGGCGATCGCGCTGCGCCGAGCTGTGCCGAGGCAAATTCTTTCTCTTCAACAAAAAAGAATTCGTCGTGGACAACTGCAGGGCGTGCAAAGGCGGTCGGAGAGAGACTGCGAAGAGAGATAGGAAGAGGCAGACTCCCTAGGGTGGGCGACGGCTAGCGCACCACACACCTCTCCTTAAAATCCCTGTGTGGTGGCGGCGTGCCGTCCTCCCATCCCTCCCTTGGGTTGTCTGTTTTCTTTCTTTCTTTCTTTCGTGCAAGGCGGCTAGGGATGAAGCAGCAAAGGAGGCGCGCGAGGCAAGGAGGAGAATCTTACAACAAAACTCCCTCGCACAACACTGGGCACGGGACGCGCAGGGTGAGACGAGGGAGGGAGCAGGACTTTGCGGAGATCAGCAGGAGGATGTACGAAGAGATTAGGAGCAGCAGGGACCCGAGGGACCATGTGGAAGACGGCTAGTGCTAGTCCCCCATCGGGAGGACGACCCCGGCTAGTCGCCGACCACACCCACAAAGAACCCTGCACAAAGATCGCAAGGGCGGGGGCCTGTTCCTTTTTACCCATCTCACAGTAGAGAGGTGTCCGTTTTTATTTATTTATTTGGGCACGGGACTGGCGCGCAAGGAGGAGAAACGGAGAACGGAGAGATTGGGATGATTGGACACAAGAATGAGTGTGTGAGTGAGTGACTGAGTATTCTTGATACGAATCCACGACGACACACACCTGCGCGCGTGTTAGCGACAAAGTTGCGGGTGGAGCCATGCCCGACTTTTCGAAGGTGAGGCCTCTGCGACGAGTGCCAGCCGCGCTGCGGAGCCACGCCCTTCGAGCCGCGTCCCGTCAGCACTGTCCCCGAGTGGTCCCGCCTCAGCGGCACACACTCTCGACCAGGACAGTCCCGCCAACGGAAACGTGTCGCGCGCCGGCGACGATTGCGGCGTGGTCGTTTTGAAGCAAAGATGGCACGACCACCGCCCTGCTTCGCAGACCGGGCAAGGAGGGGCCCGCTCCCGTTCCGCGAGGAACAGGAGGTCTCCCCCCCTCCCCCGGCCTGAGCAGCGACGAGTGGAAGGCAGCCCCGTGAGTCGAGGGCGGCGCGACCATTGTTCTGCGTCAAAGGCCGAGGCCTGATCAGGACAGATGTTCGCGCCGCCCCGCTCCGCGCCGCCCGCCGCCGCGCCGCGCCGCCGCCTTGCGCAGCCGCCGCGCCGCGCCCCGCCCGATGATTAATAATTAAGATTACCCGGAATACGGTACGCAATTAAGGAATTAATGAGTGAATTAATCAATTAAGTGAGCGCCCTCGCGTCACCTATGACTCGACCAGTGTGAAGGTGAAGAGATGTCACCGAGCATGCGTGCAGCTGGCCCGGGGTGGGGAGAGAGAGAGAGAGAGAGAGAGAGAGAGAGAGAGAGAGAGAGAGAGAGAGAGAGAGAGAGAGAGAGAGAGAGAGAGGGAGGGGGGGGGGGGGGGAGAGAGAGAGAGAGAGAGAGAGAGAGAGAGAGAGAGAGAGAGAGAGAGAGAGAGAGAGAGAGAGAGAGAGAGAGGGAGAGGGAGAGAGAGAGAGACAGAGAGAGAGAGAGAGAGAGAGAGAGAGAGAGAGAGAGAGAGAGAGAGAGAGAGAGAGAGAGAGAGAGAGAGAGAGAGAGAGAGAGAGAGAGGCAGAGAGGGAGAGAGGCAGAGAGAGGCACCTGGAAGAGCTCGCGGCCAGTGACGCCGGCGAGCTTCTTGCCCGACGAGAGCGCCGCCTTGGCATTGCCCAGCTTGGCGAGCCGCTCCGCCTCCTTCTTGGCCTTCTTCCTCTCGAT